AGTCCACTTTTCGATTGCGGCTTTTGTGTCGGCGTTTGTCATGTGTGCCTGCGTGTGGCGTCTCTTGGCGAAAGCCCAGCAGAACGGATTACTACACCTGCTCTGCGTCAGCCAGAGAGTCAGGCCTCACTCTCCCTCGCACGCCCACACGCATGCACCGAGCGCTGGAGCTGTCTCATTCACATCGTCTCCTCTGTGACATCTATCTGTGTGTGTGTGTGTCTGTGTGTGAGTGTGTGTGTGTGAGTCCCTGTGCCGGTGTGTGTTTCAGTTAGCGGCTTGGTTGGTGTGCGAGTTGAGGTTAAATAGGCGCCTAGCAATGAGAAGAGGGAACTGAGGCGGAACTGGCAGAATATCTCTCACACACACACACTCACACACACTCACACTCACACACAAAACCAGTGACAATGGAAACAGCACTATCAGAGCAACATGTAAACTGCAGATGTGCCCTGTGCCTTAGTGATTATTCCATACTTTGTTTTGACCCTGTCGCTTGTCACTGTCTGTGTGTGAATAATGCGTGGTAATGTATGTGTGACCTCGTGTGTGTGTGCGTGCTTCCTGGAAAACACTTTCCCCGGCGTTCACTGATCATTCACGGTGGAACTCGTTTCCTGTTTGCTGACAAAAGTGGTGTGAAACACAAAGCCAGTGTCTCCAGAAAAGCTGTCATAGGTGCATTTATCCTAATATCTGAAACGCTGTCGCGGGCCGTGATCGTAGATCGTGAGGTGTCGGCGTGTCTGTTGGCTGTTTATTTCTGCCAGACACTGCTCTTGTGGCAGGACTGGGATCGCAATCCAGGTCTGGTGGTTTGCGTAATATGTTAGCATGTAAAGTTTGTAACTGTGTTACTAATCTTTTTTAATTTGCATGTTTATTTCAATTTCCTCTGTGTGACCATGAACTTTATTTTCCCTCGCCCCAACCCTTTAGAGGCATAAAATGTTACGCATGAGGGTCCATGGATTCCACTTTTATTCCATACAATTCTTTTTCCTACCAGGCCCCTACAACCAGTCAATTAGACAATGTAGAAAGTGGACACTAACATTTGAACATATGCGAAATATTAAGAAATTGAGAAATTTAAGCTGTATCTGTTCAGTGAACAAACTTAACGGTGGTTTCTATTCTTATTTTAGTAATAATCTATTGATGATAATACTCATTTTGTGAATTCAATGTGAAACTGTTGACATAGTTGGAGCTCAGGTGTAGTCTTCCTGCACACTTGTTGTCCTGTGTTCATTTCACTATTCGAGATGACTACCTTCGAGATGTTGGAAATGACTGAAATGCCTCCGAACAGCCAGCACGCACAGATGAGTCACACAGCTGGAGTTCGATCAGATCATTTATTCGTGCCACTGTCCTTTGGAGAACCTTGTCTTTAAGTTATTCGAACGGTGATACTGTCAGATGGTGTAAGGCCAGCCCTGATGAGCAGGATAAACGTCTGGAAATGCTTTGAGGAAATGCTCTTTGATGTGGGTTAATTTGTTGTCACGGCTTGTAAAGTGCTTAGGTTTCTGACAAAAGAAAGAGATTATATGAATATTGTAATATGATTATATGAATGACAGTAGCATTATGAAAGTTATTCTGGTTTAAAGAGTTGTCATTTAGAGGTTTTCTAAAGGACTTAAGTCTCATGGTATAGACTTTTTTTTTCTCTGATTGTGTAAACGTGACCACTGACAACCTCGTTATGTTACATGATACCAGCTGGAGTGGTTGGACATTCATTCTCTGGTAAACGGGCGGGGGGGCAAGAGGCAGACTACATAGTCAGGGTGCCAGTCCATCACACAGACAAACAATGCAAGCAACCATGCATTTTTTTCTCCAGTCACAGATTAAATAATTAACCTAATATGCCTGTTTTTGGACTGCATCCAGACAGATCTCTTGGCACACACCTGGAGAAAATGCAAACGCCAAGCACAACGGCTTTAGATGAATTTCAAACAAGAGGCTTTTTCCTGTGAGAGGGGCAGGCTTTTATTCCTCCTTGATGAGTAACATGTTCATCTTGGGTAGTCTTTATCGAACATCAGACTACAAATGTCACAGGTCAAGGAAGATGAACAACCTCATCCCGTTGAATAAGCATAAATCTGAGTCACTGACTAAACAGGTCTGTGATGAAATAAAGAAAACGGCCAGTCTTCACAGTCTGCACTTTGTGGCTCCAAATACTGTTCAACCTTGTGAACCATTCTTTTAATAACCTGAGAAGCTTTTCATTTTAGTAAATAACTGAAATATTGACATTGCTTGTGTCTATAGTTTATCAATTGCTTAATCTGTTCATGCAGGAGAGTTTTATCTTATTTTAATTTCCAACCAACTTCTGTTTTCACTATGAACTAACACAAGCTGGAATTGTATGTATGTTTTTTTTTTAATGTTTCAGGCTCACATATGTTGGGATCACCCAAGTTTTATGAACAAACTCCTTTATGTGACAGACAATGCGACGCCTTGTCAGCATTGCTTTAGTCAAAGTACACAGCTGTCATTTACTGTAGCAGGAGGGAGAGATGAGAGAGGCAGAGGAGGGTGTCAGCTGGCAGAGGCCCTTCCTTACCTGTTGGTGTTCCCATAAAGTTGGGCTCGTCTCAGATTCAATGCGGTTTGTGACAGTCCGAACATCTGCAGTAACTGAAGTCGGTCGACCAAAACACAAAAAAAAAAAATTCCACAAAGTCATCGGCAGTTTTACTGGACTTACCGACGATCTTTTGATGCAAAATATCTACACATGGCTAAAACAGCCCGAAGGATGTTGATCAGAAATTAGTTATGATACCAGACACACACTCACACACACTAGAATATTACAGATAAGAAGCATTCCAGCTTCTGGCCTGTCTCTAGCCTCGTCTTGTCAACACAGGGCCATGATGTTGTCCAGAATTTTTATCCAGCAGCTCCAAAAACCGAGCGGAGTTGGCTTTGTTTGTTTGTGTTGCTGCTCCAGCCAGGCTTCCCGTAGCTCTGTGGTGTCAACCTGCCCACCTTCCTCCCGTCAGTCCCGTGGAACACAGCCCTGCTGCCAGAGGCACCCCAGAGACTGAGGTTACCTCTTACACCGACTTGAAGTGTTTGCTGTTTCTCACATCCTTGGAATTCAACACCAGCCTGTTTACCAGTCCACATGTAGCCCCAGACTCTCTCTCCCCTCCCCCTTTTTGTTTTTCTCCACCTCATTTTTTAAATCATTTTTCTTTCTCTTCACACATTCTTTATTTAGTAATGTGGCACCAGTGCATTTGTGTTGCTTCTACTATAGTTGGCACACCATTGTTCCCATGGATCATATGTCAAATATCAGAACATCTGATGTATCTCATATCTTCTGCTCAAAGTAAATTGCTAAATAGGGTTTATGCCTTTATTAAAAAAGGATTTTAAAAAACTACCGTGAGACCAACTGCATGTCTTGAATTCCCTGTCAGGATGTAACTTATAAGAATAAACCACCTGTTATATACACCAAATATAGGAATATGGACCTTAAGTGTGGTGAAATGTATTGGAACTCACAAATAACCGAAGTAATGAGCTGTGAAACAATATTCCTTTGCCCTTTTCAATAAACTGAATAATATTTTTTTTTAAAAGCTTGAAGCAGTACTATCTATGTCCTTTCAGTGACATTTGTTTTTTTTTTCTATCCATGTGAGACACTGTCTGCGTGAGGGACTTAATTCATGTGCTTTATTGTGCAGCTGACAATAAATCATACAGAGAATCAAAGGAATTAATATACATCTCAAGGAAAATGTTAACAAGATGATGAAGCGCATGCAAAACGAGAATCTCTTCGCTTTCCACTTTGTCTTTTTTTTTTTTCTTTCTTTCTTTTCCACTTCCTTCCCTCGGTACAGCCAGATGGCAAAGCTCCAGCTCTGCAGTCCTCTTCATACACTCATCATATTTGATGGGCATCCTGCTGCCGAGTTTCAAGGAGGCCATGTGTTTACGAAATGACACTCGTGACAAAAGAAAACTTCTATTTAGCAAGCTGATTCTTGGACAGGGTGCGGGGGGGGCAGTATGGATTTGTGTCAGCAGGGTAGTACAGTATGCTGTGCCTGAAGGACTGCTATATGACATGCGTGTTGTTGAATGTGTGTGTATACGTGTTCATACCAATAACATCCATATCGTCTCGGTTTCATGTTGGATGCTGATGGCTTTCAATCACATCCTGCCTCTCTGTAAGTTTTTCTCTTTTTTTAAAGCTATGTCACAGTACATTTTATTATATTTTTTACTCCAATACAGTTTTTTTTTTCACTCACATTGATAGCATGAATATTATACATTGTGGGACTCTTCTACTAATGTATTTAAACACTTGGAGGACAAATTTTAGCTTTAAAAATCGTCTGGTGTACAACTGCAAATGAAACAGGTTTTATGTTGGTTGTTCATTTGTTTCTCAATAATATTTCCTAATATTGTCTTTGTCTTCAATGGTGAGGAATTCCCATCAAAGTTTTCCCCTTCTCTTAATACTTTAGGGAATTTTCAAACGTCGGGATGTATGGCTGTAATGCCCCAAGATTTGTTCTCCCTGAAAGAAATGATAGAGTAAGAATATATTAACTACAGAGAAACCTGGCTTTATGGGGTCTACATTTACTTTTACTTCATTTTAGGTTTACCAATATGTTACGCAAAAATATATACTATATATGCATATAAATCAATATATGCTTTGAAGCATTCCTTTTATTTCAAATTTAAAGCCACGTTCATGCATTAAAAAGCAAATTCAAGTTTTATACTGCAGGGTTTAGATGCAAATCCATGGGGCATTACGTTAAAAACCAGAAACATCATAAATTAGAAAATAGAAATTAAAAATGGAAGCAAAAATGAAGACGTTTAACTGGTTATTAATAACTGAATGCGCTCATTTGTTGATGTGATAAACAAAAATTGTATTCAAGAAAGAAGACAAAAATGGCAAGTGTAATGAAAAATAAAACCCGTTTAAAGCAAATTATTTTTATTCACACAAATTTAATAAGATATATAACAACCGTTTGGTCCATAAATATTTAAGGGGAAATAGTTTCTATACACCATCTTTATCAAGAAACAGGGAAACATGGACAATCTTGATAGAACACTTACTGTACTCAACTATTAACACGAAGATCAATATATAAGGTTCTTGGATTACCCAACTATATCTGAAAGAGTGCACAAATGCTTTCTATGACATCGCTGCCCCCTTTTAAACAGGATACACCATAAAAAGATCTTCGGAAATAAGATGCAAAACAGTACAAAACTAGTGAGGCGCCAAAAGGATGTGAATCAGTTAACAAAGAACACATATATCCTGAATTTCACAAACTTTCTCCCAAGTTATAGCATAAGGCACATAGTAGAACTGAGTTAGGCATCTACTTCATTAAGTAGATCAAGAGTACCACTTTGTTCTACAAAAGAACAAATTGTGACGCTCACAATGAAATGTATCAACTCCATTGAAGATTTGCTCGCTCTTCCTTTTCTCTCTCTGTCTTTCAGCCAGAAGAAACATGTTTTTTGGTCTGTTCAGTGGCAAGTGTCAGCAAAGAAAGTGTAAATATGGCCAAACAGGAGAACACATGGATAATGATTTCCCACTGGCTGCCTCTCACGACTCCACCCATCCGAGCTCATTTCACTTTTGTCAGCTCCCACGTTTAAGTCTTAAGCGGCGCAACCACTTCATTTTTTTTTTTTCACCCCTGCTCTTTTTTTTTTTCTTTTCCCTTTTTAAAATCACATCATTACCCTGAGCAACATGATAAGAACAATAATGCACTTTTCTCTGGGCAGTATGTTGTCACTGTGCAATTGAGTTTAGCTGTGGATCTATGGATAGGTTTGACTAGGCTCTGTCCTTCTGACTATGGTTCATCTATGAGACCTACAAGTCCAAAAAAAAGTGCTTTGTTATGAAGACAATTGATTACAACAGTGCCCATAAACTGCTCTCCAATCTGAATTCCCCTTGTTGACTTCTAATTAGCAAACAGTTTCTACCAATGTGACTGCATTACATGTTGAACAGTTACCACTGTACAGATTGTGGGATTGGATTTGTTCTCTGGATCACAGTTAGCTTGTGAATCAGACAAATGCTGCAGCTCCTCTGTGCTTCGAAATGCAATTTTAGATGTTTGACATGTAGCTCTGTGAGATATTTCAGTGTCTAATTCCATCAAACTCAGCCTGCTAGGCTGAAACATTCGGAAATAATTAAAGCCTGTTTTCTGGGTTTACCCATATACAGAACATTCTACAAGTTTATTTTTTCCAAATTATTCCAAAACATAACAAAAAAAAAAATTAAATTGGATAGTCTAACACAGTGCATTCATATACAGGTTTGTGGTATTGTTTAATTTTTTTTTACCAATTAAGCATGATTAGGAAGGGCTTAGCTGATCATGTTTCAATACAAATGTACAAATAAAGTCAAATCACGCAAAAAGTCTAGTTTTCCAGACAAACTTCAAGTTTAGTGTTTTCTTTTTTTTCTCCAATGAATCGTGGAATCCAAGACAAATTTCTAATTCCTTTAACTCCAAGAATGTCCAAGGAATCAAAATCCCTGCATGTGCCATGCAGTTTCGAATGCTACACATTAGAATGATTTCCGTCTGTTTTAAAGCGGCCGCTGCTGTTGCTGCTCTTGTTGTTCCTTTTTGCGTACACAGTACAGCACTTTCTGTTCCAAGGAGCTGTCTCTGCTTGGTTTTAAGGGTGTCACTTAAAAAAATAAAAATGTAAATCGAGGAAAGAAACTAAAAGGAAATTGAAAAAAATAATCAAAAAATAAAACCAGGTAAAAGAACAATCAGCTTGCTAGAGATAGCTCGTTTAGAAAAGGTTTGTCAAGGTAGTTTGCGAAGGGCTCCCCGAATCATGGCTGTCCAAACTAGAGGTGACGGAGGTCACTACAGTGATAGAGGGGTTTGTCAGGTCTGTTAGTGTGGCCGCGCTGGAGGGGGGGGTCAGCGCCCCACTGTCGGATGAGGGCGGAGGGAGTGAGGTGCCATCAGCCTTATCAACACCTCCATTCTCCTGTCGCAAAACGTTCCTTCTGAATTTGGCTCTTGCGTTTTGGAACCAAACCTGCAAACCAATCCCAGTGTGGCTTTTACTTTTAGTGTTTACGTAGGATTAATTTTAAAAAAAGAAAGTACCATATCATTACAGTAGATTACAAATGAGATTATCATCACTATCTTGAATCAATAAATCTTAGTAAGATGATCATTTTCATACATTATTTTGAGCTTAAGGGCCAGGTAACAAAGAACCATTTAGCTCCTGAACACTGAATACAAATAATGTGGATTTTAATAGCAAAGAAAAACAAAATCGTCTCTTCATTTTGATTGTTTTTTTTTTATGCAAGAGCTGAATTACACCTCGCTCTTTCCTAAAAATTAAAGGACATGTGCACTCTCATTAAGAATGTGAGGAAAAGTTTTAAACTTACATTTGTAGGCTTCATAGCTACTTTTCGCCTTTCTTTTCTTAAAAGATAGCATTTAAGAGTCTACAAATTTCAGGTAAAGACCCCTGGATATACATCTACTGACTAAATGGACCAACAAAAAAAAAACAGAACTCAAAAGGTGACATTAATGGTGTGAAATGTGGGGGACATGGATGAGACATGAGGTGCACGCACATATGTGGGAGAGATAACTTAAGGAAAGAGGAGTGGTTCTCTGCTTACCTGTAGAACTCTCTTAGTGAGGCCTGTTTTCTGGGCCAGCTGCTTTAAGTCCTTGGCATCCGGGTTGTGGTTGATGGCAAAGTAGGATTTCATTGTCCGCAGCTGATGGTGCTTGAAGGAGGTCCGCATGCGTTTGGTCTTCTGCGTTGGAGGGTAGGCCTGCTGGTCGCGGTCCAGGTGGTCGGTGTCATTTTCGTTACAACCTGCGGACAGAGCGAGGAGCACAACACCAGGAGTTACAAAAAAAAAATGTTTTAGGTCCCAGAAGAACTTATCTGCATGCTTTCTGCATTCAGGTTCGTTTTGATGATGTTTAAAAAGTCTCTTCAAGAGGAGGAACGGGCTGTTTAACCTGAGAGAAGTAAGTTTGGCTGACTACATGAACACATCTGCTGTAGGCCAGTGTTGTCTTTCATGGAAGTTCGGAAATGCTACTGTGACAGGAAATCATTTAACTCGAGTAGATTTTAAAAAAAAAAACATCCCAATACTACCGGAAATTTAGAATTTGCATTTGCGCCTTGTGTTTTTTAATTTAATCTGTGTTCAGATGTGTAAAACCAAACTCAAATCGCTGGTTTCTAACTATACACTGGGACCAAGCGAGATTATTTTAGCCCGTTTGCAAAGACTAATAGGCCTAATGGGCCTCATTCATCAGCGGCTCTGTATACAAAACACAGTAAATGGATTTAATGGTGTAAATCTGCACAAGACTAACAGCCAGAGATGTTAGGACATTTATCACGAGAAGTTATAAAACGCAATTTCACGTCACTTGTTTTTTTCTTCTTCTTTCTAACTGGGATATTTTCATAAACTTCTATGGTTAATGTGAAATGCTCGCTTGGTGATTTCACACCAAATGAAAAGGGGAAAAACATCCCTCATGCGAGTCAAAAATCAAGTCTTGTCCAGTCTTAGTTGGTTTGAAAATAGAAATTGACTTCATAACACACAACGTGTGAGTCCCCCTCTTATTTTTGGTGCAAATGCACTGAAGTTCCAGCCAGCAATTAATATCCAGAACCTCAAAGTCACATGAAATTTTTATTGATCTTCTTGTCTCCTTGTAAGTGAGCTGCTGACAAGTAGAACTTCTGAGCGGCTCGTAAAATCTTAAATGAAATATACAAACACTTTGTTATAGGCATGGAGTCCAAAAACTCCAACAAGTTAATAAACAGACTGAGAGGATAGAGTTTATATATGAAATATATTAGGTTTTAAAATGTTTTGTTACTGAGTGAAAATGGTGCAAAGAGCTTCCTTTAGAATGTCAAATGAGCACAACACCCACTGACATCTTCTGTCTGTTTTTAGGGTTTTTTTTTGTTCCAGTCTTCTCTGGTTTGTGTTTCACATAGGATCTCCCACTAGGGGTCTCCATATCCACGCAAGACCAAACTTTCCTGAGTGGTGGGGAATACACAGTAGACCCGCACCTTTCCCTGATGAAAACAAACATGAATGTTCTGATTAAAGCAGAAACAAAACCGAAAAGAAAAAACTTCTTCCAATTTGTCTGGAATGTGATTCTCCCTCTCTGACAGGGTGTTAAATTAACACCAGCAGCTTGATGGTGTAAACGGAAACCTGATGTCAGTGACAGAGGAAAAGAGGGCACTTTGAATTAGATTTTATTTTTAAAATCTGTTTCAATTGCCCCAATCAGAATTACTCCCATTTGCCATTTACAAGTCACGCTTTTTGCTTATTATCTTATTTGAATCTCCCAAATCATTTTAGATTAGTTGTATAAAACATTTGCTTTACATTTTGTACCTTCATTCCATTATTTTTGTCGATACTTTTAAAATGATAGATACTAATAAATATAAGATTCAGCCTTTAACCTTTACTGTGTCTGTGGTGCTTAATAATCAGTTGACGTTGGCAACATTTCACCGGTTTTCTTTCGCCCTTTTCGAGGGGAAACACTCCGGTTTGTGTTTTGTTTTTTTTACCTGTTGTGATTTCCTTTTTTTTTTTTTTTTTAACGCTTTTGTCGGTCAGAGCACACTACTGTTATACAACAGAAAATCGCAGGATTACAATGCTTTTCCTATTAGGGCGTCAATGAGAACTTTAGGATTTGCATAATCCCTCGCAATTGTGTCTGCGAAAGCAAAGCAAAAAGCCCTTTCAAGCGGCGCGGCGCGGTTGTGGCGCAGAGTGTGCAGCCCCCGGCTGCTCTCCCTGCAGCAGGCCCCTCCGCGCCGGGCCGCTGTGGCCCTGAGAACTGTGCTGGCCGCCCGCTCGGGAGGCCAGGGATTCCAACGTCACCTTCAATTAACAAAGAACAATTAACGCACAGATTACCCCTATTCCTCCCTATTCAGCGGGAACAGAGGAAACTTGGCACACAATGGCAAACTTTCTCATCCGCGCACTAATTCGCAGAAAGCGACAACAAAATGGGGACGCTGCAGGGGAAGGTTGGGGGGTGGGTTTGCAAAAAATCCAAGCGACCCAGTCCAAGATGATGGACGAAAAAAACCCACGTTTAACATCAGCTCGTGCTTTGTGTGCTTTTCGTTCTTTTGGCAAGAAATAGCGAAGACGATGGAAACGCATTTACATTTTTACGCACCAATGCCAAACTGAATTTATCCGAGTTATTGACTAATTGATATATATATATTTTTTTGCTAAATTTATTCTAATTACAAGAGTCAACGATTACGTGGAGGGTGAGGTCAAACTTCGATCATACTGTGTGAGCAACACACAGTATGGTGACAGTGCGTAAAAGACGCATGGACAAAAAGACCCAAAACAGTTAGAAAGCGGCTATGGCAATGTAAACTGACTAAAAAATAATATTAAGGTGAGGATTTTTTGTTTCTCTTTTTGACGGATGTGTAGAGAATTATTTGGTTCGTCAGTAAGGAAGCACTGAAGAAATTAGCTGGATCGAAAGAAAACGGATTGGCGTGCGTAAAGTCACCCCCAAAAAACATTTATTTAAATTTGTATTTATTTCATTGTTATTGAATATCTACTGATATATTTATTTAGGTTTAATAGTTTAATTCAGGTTATTTAGGCAGCTGATTTTTATTTATTTTTTAAAACTAAATCCATCTGAACAGAGTTTCTCGAAACAGAGAAATCCAAAGAATCAGTTCAGTTTTACTGAAGCATCCATTAAACAAAATGCAGCCTCATTGTTATTCAAGTGGTTCAGAGGACAACACCGTGGGCCAAACACGTTTAGTCACCATGATTTTTTTTTGGAGATGACCAATACAGTGGACCCTCAGTGCCCTTAGCTCGGCTTTGCTCTGCATTCGGGCCAGTCCGGGGCCCTGCAAAGGTCAGCCAGCCTTCACAAAAGTTTTCCACCAAAAGCCACAACAGGAGCCAGACTCCGACCTGAAGACTGACCGGACCCATGGTCTGTGGGTCGTCTGGCCGTGGCTCGGCGCGCTGACCCACCTGTGTTGTAGCTGGGTATGTCTATTCCCATGGCCGGGCTCTTCCTCTTGCGGGGCCTTCCCTTCTGGGCCGTGCCGGTCCCGTTGAAGTAGGGCAGCGCGAGGCCGCCGCCCTTGGCCGCCAGCTCGGCGAAGTTGAGCTGGGGGTGGTAGTCCGGGCCCTGCACCAGCGTCTCGAAGTGGAGCCGGCAGTACACCAGGCTGTCCTTCATGCCGAAGTGGTCCCCCGTGGTCAGGGTCTTGTTGCAGGTGGTGCACGTGAAGCAGCTCAGGTGGTACACGGAGTCGCGCGCTCGCATCACCATCTCCGAGGCCGATATCCCGAGGTGGCAGCGCGCGCACCTCTGCACGGAGAACCTTCTGGAACAGACACATCGTCAAGACTCCTCATATTTAAAAACTAAAAACCGATAAACACAGAAGGGACTGAAACGAGGGGCAAAGTCTGACCGAATCACACTGTCCACTCGTTGTGAGGAGCGTGTGCGTGTGCGCGTGAGCGTGTATATACATATTATTTGTTGAATTATAATAAACAAGTCGTGTCGCGTACGTAGACTAGCCACAATTAGCTGTCAATTAGCCTCGCGCCCAGGATGGGCAAAGATGGAGGACTCGTGTGGGCGAAAGATTTAGCCACCTTTTACTATTCCAATGCCTTTTTAAAGTCCTCTGTTTGTGTTTGACAGCAGGCAGGGAGCTCATTCTGAGCAGCCCGTGTTTACTGTGGCCTGTAAATGTTTGTAAAAAAAAATATGGCGAAGCCCCCTCGACCAACGTGCTGACAAAAGCCACAGACGGATTACTTTCTGACTAAAAAAGATGACTTTTCCCACCGTGAGCAACAAAAGAATTCGGGGAGTGGGAGAGGGTGAGTCACCCATTTTACTTCATGTGGTTTGCATTACACACTCAGAGCCGTACGCAACCTTCCACCTGAGCCTCTATCGAATAAACTGCACTTTTTTGTATCATAACTTATCTCCAGCAACACAATGGAGCCCCTCTGTGTGACTCCCATGAGGTCACCGAGGCAGGAATGAGGCCTACACAGGGTGGGTGAATAAGGGCTGTCAGCCTAACTCCCCAAATTCACCTTTAAGATTCTCAAATAATCCCAACAGAAAAGAACTAATAATAAAAATAAAATACAGCATGACGCAGGTTATTAGATTTCGTTCGAGCGAAAAAAGAACACAAAAACAGTGAGTTTGTGCTCGTTTAGCTCGCTTTTTTTCTTACCTGTAGTAATCCTCCTTGCAATAGATACTGCCATCCTTGGCAAAACACGTAAGCTCCGACTCCAGCGCAAGTTTACATTCACAGCATTTGAGACACCGCAGGTGCCACTGCTTGTCCACGGCCAGGAGGTAGTATCTATCCGAAATCTTCCCGCCGCAGCCGGCGCACAGAGCGGGCTTCTCCGGGCTCATGGAGGGCATGGTCTGGGACACACAGGGGAGGGAAAAGGCAGCTCAGGGCAACAGCTCGTTTCAAAGCACCGCTCACCACAAGACCCTTGAAAAGGTAAATAAAGCCGTTTAAATTCAGGGTGTTATTAGCCCACTTCTGAATGAATAGTTCAATATAAAAGCCCTTTTGTGCTCCTAGGCCCCAGTGAGGGAATTATTATGACAGAAGTGGTTTGAAAATTAAATGAATATACTACAAATTGCCATATAATAATATAATAATTATATGTTTTGTTGTTATTTTAGAACTCATGTTATTTGTATAAAGTAATCCAAAGCACATAATGATAATAGATTTTTTTTTTTAAAAACAACAGAAAAAAATAATGATTTTGTAAAGTTTTATCAGCAAAGGTATAACATTAAAAAATTGTTTAGCTAATTATTTCATTAACCTACTTTTTCAGTGTGCATTCAGACTGTCGTATTAAATCCAGTTGTATCATATTTTCACAATTATATATTTAGGTATCTCTTGAAATGATCTAATATTTAAAAATCCATTTGAATTTCCAAGCAGGTTATTATTTTTTAGGAAGCAAGGAAAAGCTCCTCGCTGCTGCTGACACACCTCCGTGGTGCGCAAACGACGATTAAGAAGGATTCTTTTTTTCTTTTCTTTTCTTTTTCTATTTCAATTCGGGGCTCGCACACCCGGACCTGCGTGGCTCTTACCGACTCTCTGCCGTTCAGCTGCATGCCCTTCGCCAGGCGCGACTCCGTTTTGGACCTCCTCTCCATCTCCTCCATGATCCCCTGGATGTGATCCCCGGAGATCCCGTGGAAAAGCATGGCTCCCGGTCCTGGACGCAACGTGCAACTGCCTGCCTCTGCCTTGCAGCCCACAACTTCCATATACCGCGCTCTCTCAGCAGCGCGACCCGGGCTGGGCTCCGAGGCTCTGGGGGGAGGGATGCAGCAACAAAAGACCCAACCCCGGAGAGTCCGAGCGCCTTCCTGGTCTGGCCGAAGACTGGAAGAAAAGGGGAGAAAACTACAGCATTGGGTGGGTCAGGAGGAGCTGCGATGGCTGCTGCTGCTGCTGCTGCACAAGTTTGGTTTTTTTGTTTTGTTTTGTTTTTTCCTGTGTCCCTTGAATGTCTCTCCTCCAGGAACCAAAAAAAAAAAGAAAAAAAGGGGAAAAATATATAGTCCAAATGATGCGACAAACCGGTGTTTGGAGGTGATGGCGGTGGTGGGGAGGGAGGAAGGGAGGGGGGGCTGGACTGTGAACACTCGCCAGAAAAATAATGACACAAAGTTTTTTGGGTTGCTTTCTTTTTGCTGATTTTCTCTCTCTCCCGGTTTTCCCAGTCAGGGGGTTCCTCGGTGCTTGGAGGTCAGGTTGGGACTGCCTGGATTTGAGAGCCGTGTCCTATTTGTGAAGAGAGCAAGAGCCGGCCCAGTCTGAATAATTTGGTAGGAGGAGTTCCTCTCCCTCTCCTCTCGCTCCGCGCCTGCCTCTCTCCCTCTCTCCCAGCATCGCCGCTGATTTTCTATTCACCAACAAAGAGCTGTCACTCTCCCCTAAAAAAACTACACATTCTGCCTCCGCCAAAGGACGACGATTTTATGGTAGAGACATTTTCATTACTTTTGTTCTCCCATTAAAGGAAGGGAAAGCTGGAAGGTGCAGGAAAAACAGGCTTATTCCACAGTGGGTGTTTATTTTCTTTCTTAAACAAACTAGATGCATCTTAGATTAAGTTTTTTTTTTTTTTTTCAAGAAAAAATCTTTGGGGTGGTAAATGGTTTGAAGCAGGAAAAATAATCTCAAATAAATCTAAAATTCTACATGATGTAATATTTATGGACAGTTTATTTGGTTTAGATGTTTACAAAATTACATTAAAAAAAATGTCCAAGTTGAAGCTGGCCCGAATGAGGCGTTTGGATGTCCCTTGATAAAATGTGATAACTGTGTGTTTGTTTACGTGTGGCATAAATGTGTTGTGCTGGGCGGGGCAGTGATCACTGACAGGATAGAAGGCGGGGACAGGTTGAATTAAACAATATGAAACAAGAGAATGAAAATAAATAAATAAAAAAACAAGCATGACAGAGTTAATTTAAAAACAAAACAAAAAAAACTAAACAAATCACTTCCCTATGCGTACGACCGTCTAAAAAATATAACTCAATAAAGCAAAGAAATCTTTTGGAGAGCTAAATCCAGTTTTTCGCTGTCAAGGATCCATTAACGTGACCCCTGTATATTGTCTGTCTCTTGCACGAGGCCAAAAACCTTGTTAGCCTGCAGGAGAGTTGATCTGACAACCCAAACTGTACACACATTTCATTTGTCTTGTAGGCTGCGCTGCAAGCTGGGATGTGAAAGTATACACGAGATAAAAGAAGACCTCCAGTTGGTGGGCGCCACGGGGGAACCGTGACCAATATTTTATTTATTTATCTCATTTATTATTATTTATTTATTTTTATTTTTTGCATATCTGCAGAAATGAAGGCTCTGTCTAATCCCCGGGAAAGACCGTGGAGGTTATGCGGGGTTCTGGGCCACTTTTAAACGGTGTGAAAAGTCTGTTAGGCGGACACAATTGGAAAAAAAAGAAAGAGAAGGTAGAAAGAGAGTGAGAGAGAGAAGGTATGATGGGGACTATTTTAGCCGTCCAGTGTGAAGGACAAATGTAGCATCAACTAACTCAAGACAATAATAATCAAGCAAACGCCACACGTTTACGGCATAGATTTTGGGGGAGAATCACTCGTGCTCTACATCAGTGAGAGAATTTATGCCAGAAAATGATGGAAACTCTGTGACTTTAGTTCCAATAATAGATTTGCACAGGCTCAGGGGGGGGGTTGCAGGTGTGGATGTTTCATCTCAAGATGTGTAACATTATCATGTGAGTCCCCCCCCACCACCACCAACACCAACACCACCATCACCACCACCACCACCCCCCCCCCCCCCCCCCCCCCCCTCCCTACCACACACACTAGGGTTGTGTTGGTGTGTTGGCTTTAATTGGAGGCCCCTTGATAGCAGAGCAGTAAGTCGAGGCTGAGCCCTCCTGGACGAGCTGGACCTGCAGCTGTTCCCACAGCACCAGCGTCCAGTGGCTCCCCGTCTGCGTCCCCAACGCAAAACGGGACAAAAAATAAAAAAAAAAAAAAAGGAGGGGACTCACAAAAAGGACAATTTCACATTCCACCTGGACAAAGACACCCCGAGAAGAAAGATCAAACGAGCTCTGCGTGATATTCATTCGAACAGTTTCTTTTTTTTAATTCTCCGGAAAATTATGGTTTGCACCTATTTCTTTTCTCCACGTAGTTGACTGTAAATGTAATTATTAAGAAAACGTTTTTTATTTTATTATTTTGATGAAAACATCTTTCATCCCGTTAGTGTGGATAAAAATGCTGTTTTTGACCCGTTGCCTCCAGCGGTGACATTTCATTTGACTGAAGAGGGTTTAACAATGTGTCAGTGAGCACCAGGGGGATGAGGGAATAATGTCTTTGTGCGGTCGTTTTGTTTAGTTTCTTTTCCTTTTTCTCTCGGTGTAATTAGGATATTTCAACTGCCACTGAATGGAGCTCACTGCACCCTTTTGTTTCTGGTTTTTATAAATAATATACTCCCAAAGCCAAAATCTCAAACCCAAACCTTTGACAACCATTATATATTCTTTAATGGACAACAATTTAATTTGGAAGTATTTATAATTCAATTGATGAAGAAACAGCCCTAATCGTGTAGCCCATTTTTACAAATGACGTTTCGCTGTTTACGTTGAATAAAGACTGTCATTTTTGCTTTGGCTCATTAGAATGATTTGCTCTAATTTAATCTTGTTTGACCAAATAGGAGCTTACATTTCACGCGTTAATCAAAGCTAATTGACGCATGCTCTATTTACGCTCCTGACGCCTAAAAAAGTCAATCAGAAGTGTTAATAAGCTGCTTAAAATCGCACGAGAACGCACACGAGCCAGACCTGTATCAAATAAATTATGAGACGTAATCACACCGGTGCAAACTGGACTTTTAAAACTTCAACTTGGCTATTTTACGCAAAATTTGGAGAAAGAAAATCTGTTTTCCACGACACGATGGCAAATCGACACTGAGACTGAGCAATTTGTTTGAACTATTCCACATAAACCAGCGAAAATCGCGCGAGTTTACGTGGCCTCACCTTCCTCCACATCCCCTTGATCGGCTGATTATCATCCACGTCACTTTATTTCTCATCAGTCGTGGCGCGCATTGCTTCACAAGCGCCCCTCTGTCGATTTCATCCCGTTTTTTTTTTTTTTGTCGTGTCAAAACACATCCTGCTCTGTAGTGCGATTGCCTCCAGACTATAAGTGGGAATAGAAAAGGTCTTACCTGAGGCTGTGCGCGGTGTGTGAGGCTCCGCGTGCAGCGTGCGGGCTGTGGAGCTGCGGAGTGCGGAGACGCTGCCGGTGGATGGGGGGCTGCTCCTCCTCTCCCCGCTCACTCCTGGTTCCAGCCTCAATTAAAACACGCAGGACATTTAAATATTCCTCTCTCGTAGGGCACGCAGCCCCTCGACTCAGCGCACCACGCACCAGGAAAAAAATGGGGGAAAGCCACGAGCCATGCAGTGGCCCACTCAGCATGTAAGGGTGTAATCTGTGATATGTGGCTAAATATACGGAGGGAGAGATATACACAATGTAGAGGAGGGGTAAAAAAATAAAAGCCAACATGTATGAGCAGACAAAAGGAAGTGTTCATTCGTATGCATGTCTCATTTTGAACGATAAAACTATTGCAAACATATTCTACTCTTACTTTGTTTTTTTTTTCTTATTCTTTCTTTTTTCATTCGTCCCAAAAGACCCACTGGCTCGTATTTCTGCAATCGAAATTCTGCTCGCACACCTGAGACCAAACAAAAGTCACGAAATGTATCATCACATATCCTGTTTAGAGGATGGGATTCAAGTCAAATGACAACGGGTTTCAAGTCAAACTCGATCAATCAGCCTGACAAAGATATGAAGCACAGCCACACGCAGGCAAACAAACGGCTTCAAAGGGCAAATCTGCCTTAAAAGAAAAGTTAGCAGTTTCAGAATCTGATCAGGAAAAATTCAATGGAAATAACAGATCCTAAAGAAATAGATGGTGAGGTAATTACTAAATGTTATTAATGTTCTTTTCTGTATTTCCTCAAAAAGAAAAAATAATCAGTTATCAAATTATTCAAATGCAAATCTCATATTTAGAATTAGCTGAAGGAAAGAGCTTGAAACCATGAATTCCCCATGTTCAAATTTTCTGCTTTTTTTATTGTTATTTTAAAAAAATTGAATGCATCCTTCAGGAATTAGAATAATAATAAGAGCATAAACTCATTAACTTGCGTAACCTCATCTGTTTGTCCATCAGAATCTTCTTCAGAACTGAACTGACTGACATTCTTCATTTGGATTCAGAGCAATAAAAGGTGCCCAGACATGGAGCATTCTGCTCACACATGGCCTCCTGGAGCAACATTCAAAGACTCAAGAAATAGTGATGAAAAATTCACCAACCCTTTATTATATCAGCTGCTTTTTTTTTTTAAAACAGGAATTTCTGAGGAAGCCAGAATTGGGCCTCAGACTTAATGAGACAATATTCTTTAATTAAAGAAAAAATGAAAAAACACCCCCAACCTTGTTTTTTTTTATTTTATTTTCAAAATTCATATTATTTAAAATGAGATAACAATTGACCTGACGGACTAAACACCTATCCAGTTTAAAGGGAAAGGTGTGTCCACCTGAACAAACCTTTACTGTGAACATGGGAGGGGTCATCTAGAAAAGAGGATCAGTGATTGGAGAACAACACTCTGAGGCATGGATGGGCAGACTTTAATTAACAAGTGAAAGCAATACAGTGTTGCTGCTGGGAGCACAGGGTGACGATTAATGGCTCCTCTGGACTGCCCGTATAAATGATCATGTGCCATGGCGCTAACAGTCATTTTGCTTTGCTCCTTCAGCCTGGGTTGACATCACAGTGTATCTCATCAATAATGCAGCAAAGCTGAGATCCGTTTCACAGTGTTATCACAACACAGGACGTGCGCGCGCACGTGCACAGCCTTCTCCGGGACGGATAACCCCGGACAGCCTGCTCGCTTCCACGGCGCCGAGCGGGACGGTGACCCGCCCGCCTGACCGCCCTCCTGGATGGCGGGCTCCTCTCTGCTGTGGGGCATGGCGGTGGCTATAGCGGTATAGATTACCACAGATCCAGGGTTCATCTGGAGCTATCGTTTCTGGGTCACTTCAAGTGACGCTCGCTCTCGGAGGGGAGCTCTCGGCTATACTCCCAAAAGCGTGGTCAGAGAAGGAGAGGTGGAGGCAAAGGAGTTGAAGAGAGGAGGAGGAAGAGGAGGAAGAGGAGGAGGAGGAGGAGAGGCTCTCCTCGGATCCTCTGTGGTGTGGGGAACCACAGGCTAAACACTGACAGAGTGAAGGAAAAGGGGTGGGAAGAGGAAAGGAGAGGGGGGCTTCGAGGAGGAGGAATGGAGGGAGGAGTGAAGCACTGTAAAGCTGTACGGTCACATGTATTCCAGTCACATGAGCCCGGGTGGGTGGGGGGGCGGGTTGGGTGGGTGGGGGGGGAGGGGGGGGGGGGTGAGAAGATGGTGAGACATCCTGGAAATATTTACAAACACTCAGTGGACGTGGCTTCGTAATTACCGAAGACAGGGAGACATCACGATTCGGAGGAAGTGATGCACATAGTCGGTCATTTAAAAAAATTGTTAAAAAATGAACGGGAAAAAAAAGAAGAAAGAAATCCGCACAAAGGCGAGAATATACCTCTCCGGTCCCGTTTGTCATTTCTCACTCCTCCTCTCGCTCTTCCCTTCTCTAGCTCCACGCTTCCTTCACCTTCTCCTCTCCGTCTCCTGCAAGCAGTGCCCACCCCTCCCACCACCCACCACCCGCTCGCTGCCTCCCACCACCACCACCACCACTCCCCAAACCCCCACCTCCCTCCCCCCCGCCTCCCACCCCTCCTTCGATCTCCTCCCTGCTCGCTCTGCTGGAGCTCAAATCACAACCTCGGTCCCTGGCAGATGGAGGATAGGAGAGAGAAGCTCTTAACTAGCCAGCCTGAGCCTCTGCTCCCTGCACACCAACTGCTGCCTGCCTCCCCTCCCTGCCTCCGGAGCGGCACACACACACACACACACACACACACACACACACACACAC